TTTTGGTATAAACAATGTCCTTTACCATGATTGGATTTTATAGACTAGTAATCATTTGTCCATGGCATTTTCTTATTGCAAATAACAAATCTCCTGCTCCTCTCCATGTCTCGCAATGACTCGAATGACGCAGTGTGGTAGGAACACTATGGTCTGCACTCTCATAAGGCATCTGGTCTAGCAGATCCTAGAAAACAGCAAAAGATACGATCCCTTTGGATAAGTGGAAAATACCTTTGGCAGAATCTTGACCAATAACCCTTCCAGTCCTAGAGTGGGGGTAGTCATAACACTAAGGGAACTTTTTTTTTGAGACAGGGTCTCGCTATGCAGTTCAGACTGCCTTGAGCTCACTTTGTAGCCCAGGCTGGTCTCCAACTCACAATGATCCTCCTGCCTCAGCCTCCCAAGTGCTGGAATTACAGGCAGGTGCCACCAGGCCTGGCTCTCAGCACTTTTAAAAACTGAGTTCCTCCTCGACTGTAAATTCAGACTGTAGGTAAAATGTGTTCTTGTCACTCTCTGGACATAGGTCTTCTTTTCACTAATCTTTTCTATCTTTTCCCTTTTTCTAAAAGGTGGCTGGAGGGGCAAACTGTGTTCAAATTTTAAAGGCCTCTCTGGAAGTTAAAAGAGAAAGGACAGCATTTCCTCAGGTGGGCAGCTGGTCTGGGAAACAGGTTCACTTTTGAGTTTGCAGCTGAATTAACCCTGTGGGAAGCGTGAAACATTTTTTTCAACGTCCTAAAATTGGCATGGCTACTTTTTTGGGGGGTGGGGGGTGCTGTATGTGTACTGGGATTGAACCTGGGACCTTTGCACTCAGCTATACCCCTAACCTGTTTTGTTTAATTTTTTTTGTGAGTCTCACTAAATCACTTAGATTAGGCTCAAACTCAGGGCCCTCCTGTCTCAGCCTCCCACCCTCCTGGGATTACAGGTGTGGACCTCAAAGCCATAGTCACCAAACATATCTTAAACATATTCTGGAAGTCCGGCATCTTTAGGATCTGTTCAAAATTACTCCCACCCCTAGCCGGGCGTGATGTCGCAAGTCTGTAATCCCAGCACTCGGGAGGCTGAGGCAGGAGGATCACTGCGAGTTGGAGAACAGCCTGGGATACAAAGTGAGCTCAAGACCAGCCTGAACTGCATAGTGAGACCTTGTCTCAAAAAAAAGACCAAAAAAAAAAAAAAAAAAAATTACTCCCACCCCTGCTACCCGCTTGGAGACCACGACTTACTGTCAATTTAACCTTTTAATATCAGAGCCTCGGGTTCTCATCGTCCTCTATAGAGAGGAATAAACTCATGTCTTTGTCTTGCAGCTCACGTATCACCGTAGCTGGGGCCGGAGCATCCCGGGTGGAAGTGTGTATACTCCACTGTACTTTTTTTTTTTCCCTTTGAGGCAGGATCTTGCTGCGCCGTTCAGGCCGGCCTCCCACTCAAGGCGACCATCCTGGCTCAGCCATACAGCGTGCGTATTTCCGAGGCCCGCGCCCACGCCGACCTCGGCGGAGCAAACAGGAAACCATCGATCTCTCGCAGGAAATGAGCCGGTGTGCGGGCCACGAAAGTGCCGCGGATTTCCCTCATCTTCCTTCAGTTCCTTCCACACTCACTTCCGGGTTTCAATCAATTTCGCCCTTCCCTACAATAACAGAGTCGGCCTGGCTCTCCCCGGCCCCACCCCGGACTTCATCCCCGGGAGTGACCAATAGGCCTTGCCCTTTAGTGGACATCGCTCCCTCTGGCTTTACGTCACTGCCAGCCTCAGCCAATTATCAACTCGGATAGGAGGTACCAAAATAATCTTCACTTCCTCCTAAGTGGCCACCCTTGCCTGAGTCATCATATGATAGACGCGCGACGCAGCCAATCAGTGAGCAACGCTGGGCCCGGCCCACCCCAAGTACAGCCAATTAAAATGAAGGTGGGGGACTCGGGTAGGAGAGTGGAAAACTTGCCCCTGTTCTGGACGCGCTTAGAAGAGCTGCGTCCGGAACCAGCGAAGTTGCAACTTTCCCCTCGCCGTCGCTGCACCCACACGAATATCTCGCCGGCTCGGCTCTGCCCCAGCTCGACCCCACCCCAAGATGGGCCCCAGGCTCACACTCCACCCCGCCAGCGTGTCAGGGCGCTCGTGCCCGTCCCTGAAGTCCTCCAGGGAAAGAACCCAAGCGTCAGGCCGGCGCCTCGCGCACAGCTGCCCGGACCGGCGGAGCAGGGCCCGGGATGCTCAGCGCCGGCGCCGATATTTCCACTCGGCGCGTCTCTCCTCCCTCCTCCACGTTCCCGGCCCGAGCTGACACGGGGGTGGGAGGAGCCTCGGCCTGCGCGGACGGGGAGAGGCCGAGGCTGCTTAAGGTGGAACAGCGGCTGGTTCGGCCTCCTGTTCCCAGTCTCGCTTCCCGCGCGGCTCGTCTGGTCCGAGACACTTGGTTCCAGTCCTAGTTTTTGTTTTTGGGGAATTAATCAGATCGGGCAGAGAATATAAAATTAACGTAGAAAACTCCAAATAGTAAACAGTTATATAGATAGGTGTGGTGGCGCTTGCCTGCAGTCCCAGAACTTGGCAGGCTGAGGCAGGAGGATCTCTCTGAGTTCGAGGCCAATCTGGACTACATAGCGAGACCTTGTGTCAAAAATAAACAACAAACCCAAAAAGCTATATAAAGGAAATGCAAACTATGCAGAGCACTTAATTTTAAAGGTACTTGGGATTGAACCTAGGGCTTTGCACTGAGCTACATCCCCTGCCCTTTTCAATTTAATTTTTATTTTTGAGACAAGGTCTCCCTAAATCACTAAGTTGCCCAAGCTGGGCTCTAACTCCTCCTGCCTCAGTCTTCCAGAGCGCTGGATCACAGGCTTGAACCACTCTTGGTAAGAGTGTTCTTATGATTTAATCACTTCTGTTGGGTTGTATGCTTTATTCCTGGGATCGCCTTTTCACAGTGGCAGAACTTTTCTGATGGGCCGATATGAGCCCGAATTTGGTCTGATAAGTATCCTAAATGAATTGTTTGTATGTTGGCTTGGTCTCAAAGCAAATCCCTGTGTTTAGTGCAGGTTATTACCCATTTCAGGAAGCAGGGAGAGGGGAGGACCCTGTAGGGCCTGTGATCTGATGACTCTGCTCGGTAGTTGAATGTGAGCCCTAAGAAGGCAGAGTGAATGACAACACGAAATCTGAAAGGTGTCAACATTAGGTAACTATATACACACGGCTCATGATCATAACACTGTACAGTCATGATGTCCTAGTATTTTAAACCATGTTTTAAAAACCCTGTCTCGCTGGCCGTGGTGGCGCATGTCTGTAATCCCAACACTGGGGAGGCTGAGACAGGAGGATCTTTGAAGTTCGAGGCCAGCCTGGGCTACAAAGTGAACTCAAGGCCAGCTTGAAATGCATAGTGAGACCCTGTCTCAAAAAGACAAAAAAACCCAAAAAAACTCTCTGTTGTAAGTTTCAAATACAATACATACAAAAGTAAAATAGTATTTTTATTATTTATTTTTTTGAGACAGGGTCTCACCATGTCGTTCAGGCTGGTCTTGAACTCATTATGTAGCCCAGGCTGGCCTCGACGTGAACTTGCAGCGATCCTCCTGCCTCAGCCTCTCCAGTGCTGGGATTACAGGTGTGCACCACCACACCCGGCTGAATGTCGCTTTTTGAGCAATTAAAATATTACACGAAAAGTCTTTTTTGCCTTCGTGTTATTTTATGGAAGAAAGTGGTTGAAAGAAGCTTAATTAGCAGAGGATGAAGTCCGAGGCATCTGCAGCAGAGCCCTGCACCGCAGGGGCCGTGCGGGGAGAAATCTCACCGTGGCCTTCGGAACAAGGCGCCTCATAGGATCTCCAGGGGAACTGTATTTTGTGCACTTGTCTACCACGCCGTTTTTCTCACAACATCTCACTTGGTTGCCGGGCCTGCAGGGGAGGCCGCCGCGCACCCCGGTCTCCGCGCCGGCCCAGGGCCTCGCTCCCGCTGCAGAGCCGCAGGAGGGAGCGGACCAGACCTTCCGACGCGCTCGGGGGCATTTCTGCAATCCGGGCGCTCGGGGACCCTGCTAACTTCGCCCCGGTGCCCGGGACCCTCACGAACTTTCCGGGAGAGGAGCGGCCCGTCCTCGCCGCCCCGGAGGCAGCGCAGGGGCCGCGCAGGGAGCCGCAGAGCCGCGGCC